CTTAGCAACTCAAGCCCTGAGGTCGCATCCACCAAGCGGTCGATTCTGGGGAGTGGGAAGCAGTCTTTTGGGAAAGCCCGGTTTAGGTCGGTGTAGTCGATGCACATGTGCCACTTGTCGTTGGCCTTCTTTACCAAGACGGGGTTAGCTACCCAGCTCGGGTAGTGGACTTCTCTTATGAAGTCAGTTGCGAGGAGCTCTTCGACCTCCTCGTCGACCGCTTTCCACCGCTCCGGGGATAGGTTACGTTTCTTCTGTCTAACGGGCCAAATTACAGGATCAGTATTCAGCTTGTGAGTTATGAGTTCGGGGTCTATATCAGGCATCTCTGCCGCGGACCATGCAAAAATATCTAAATTTTGAAGTAAGAAACTTACCAGTTCGGATCGTAGGGGCTCCTGGACGGAAGCGCTGATCTAAAGCGTCCGAGCTGGGTCTACTGCTGAGGTCGGGACCGCGACTGTTTCTTCCGTGGGTGCAGCTCGCTCTTCGCCTTGCTTCGTCGGCCGCTCCAGCTCGAGGTTATCGGCCACCTTGGTTTTCCCCTTCAGGGCGGCAACATAGCACTTGCGAGACTCGAGCTTATGGCCCCGCACTACCCCCACACCGAAGTCTGTTGGGAACTTCAAAGCCAAATGGTAAGTGGAGACCACCGCCCGTAGGACATGGGCGATTAGTCAACATATTATGGCATTGTAGGGGGAGCAGGTCGCAACCACCAGGAAGTAGTGTTTGAAACTAACCACACAAGGCCATGTGCCAACTTCTACAGGTACTGTTATTTTCCCCAGGGGACGGACTTCTTCTCCGCTGAAGCCCACCAAAGGAGTGTTTGTAGGCTTCAGGTCGCTTTTCTATAACTGAAGCTGGTCGAACGCAGCTTTGAAAAGGATGTCGGTTTAGCTGCCTGAGTCAACGAATACGCGCCTGACCTCGAAATTGTTGATTCTTAGCTTTATTACGAGCGCATCATCGTGGGGATAGTGGACCCCTCGCGCATCGTCTTTTGTGAAGAAAATTGGGTCTCTCGTCTTCGGCCGCTTTGGGGGGTTCTGCTCTTCCCGGGTGGCCTCACGAACTGACGTCCGAGCTGCTGCTGAAGTGCAACCCGCAACGATCGAACCTCCCACTATCATGTGGATGGTCCCCCGAACTGGCCTCTCCTCCGGAGGCTGCCTCTGCGGTTGTTCAGTTGGCCTGCTGCTGGACTCGGGAGCATCCTTACCGTGCTCCCCTTGCCGACCTGCTCTATTACTATTGTTATTATTATTTTGTACAAAGTTTCTCAAATATCCGCGACGGATGAACTCCTCTATCTCGTCGTGGAGGTTTTACAACTCTCGGTACTGTGACCGTGATCTTTGTGAAAACTGCAATACCAACTCTTATTTCTTTCATTGGAATTCCCCCTCAAACGGGGTGGCCATTTCACGTACGAGGCGTCCTTGATCGCCATCAGAATTTTGGCCCGCTTTGCGTTCAGTGGGATGTAACTAGCTTGGTCCGCTGCAGAAGCTCGGAACAATTGACCCGACTATGCCCCCCGAACTGCATCCTTTTTCTTTCGGTTGTCCCCTTGACTGGAGGGCGCTCCTTCCCTCTTTCTTTTTTTGGGAGCGCCCTCGCTCTTCTGGTTTATCTCCTCTTTGGTGGCTATGAACCGGTCCGTGAGCTTCACAAACTCGGTTATGGTCGCTGGCTGGTTGACGACCATTAGACCTGTTCATGGGCCACCCGACCGGACCCCCGGACGGGCTTGAACAGGCTTTATGGCCCACGGGCTTAACCTCGGGCCAAAAAGCCCGGCCCGCATAAAATTCGAGCCAGGCTCAGGCTTTGCCAAAATAGCCCGGCCCGACCTATAGTTAAACCTAAGTAAAAACCCTATATGATGTCTATTTGAATAAATTTTTTGATTTGATAAGGTCATTGATTCACTTGTAGGTTCATTGTTCATTTAAAGAGGGGAAAAACCATCTAAATTAAAATAAAAAATGTCCATTTGAATAGAGAAAATTTTGAATTTCATTTATTAGGTCGGGCTTCAGGCTTTTTATCATGGCCGGGCTCGGGCCCAAGTTATAGGCCCATTGGTTCGGCCAGGCTCGGGCTCGGGCCTAACAGTTTTCTGTTAATAAAGAGTCAAAGCCCGATCCGAGACCGGCCCGGCCCGGCCCATGAACATGTCTAACGACCATGTGCCATTTGAACTCTTTGTGTGTCACGCCTTTCTTGGCTGTTGCATGGCGTACGGCGGGGTCCAGGTGCGGTATCTGCATACAAGCATCGTTGAACCGCTTGATATAACCCAGGATGGACTCTCCCTCTCCTTGCACTATGCTGAGGAGGCTTTCTTCAGTTCGCGGGCACCGTTTGCTGGAGACGAAGTGGGATGTGAAGGCTTGTGCGAACTACGCCCAACTTCTTATGGACCCAAGTGCCAAGTTTCGGTACCACGTGCGGGCTGCTCATCTAAAAGTAGTGGAGAAGGCCACGCACATGCACGACTCACTGGCTCTCGCCAGGTCCATCTGTGACTGAAAGCCATCTACGTGGTCATTTGGGTCAAACGACCCGTCATACTTGTCAAGAGGGGGGAGCTTGAAGTCTTTGGGCATTGGGACTGCCAGGAGTTCGGAAGACAGGGGAGATGGAACTGAGAGGAGGTGAGCTTTGACTTTGGCCGAGCTAACCTCTTCTTTGCCCCCGAGCMCGGGCAAATCGCAGGTAACAGATCGGCGAGCTCGGCGGTGGCGTCTCTGCTTCTTGGTGGGCTCAGCGTTCGTGCTGCTCACCTCTACGCTGTCCGGAATGGTTTGCGCAGGAAGTAGCCCAGTCTGCTGGTGATGGTTGTGGACAGAGGGGTCCTGTTTGGAGTCTGTTGCCAGGATCTCGAACCGGTTTTCAAAGAGCAGGGTTTCAAGCTTCGACTGTCGAGGTGATGTAGACCTGGTGAGCTGGGGTCCTCTCGACCTGTCCACCCGCGGCAAGACCGTGGTAGCCGATCTCTTTCGTCTGCCACGGGGGGAGGCCTGGTTTTTTGGGAGGTTTTGAGGGGCCTCTCCTTGGCCAGAGGGGTGCTCGTCCTGACGGCGAGACTTAGCTTGCTGCGAGGCTGAGTGTCGGGGCGGGAACTGCGGCTGCTGAAGCTGAAGTTTAGGCAGTTGGGGGAACTACTGTTGGTACTGATACTGGGAGACCTGGTGCAATACGTGTTGTTGATAGAGCTGAAGTTGTTGGAACTGTTGCATTTGGGCCTGCATGGCCCGCATGTACTGCCTCAAGTCCTCCAGTTAGTTCGGGCTGGCCGCTGGGGGCACGACCGATGGTTCGGTGAACGTCATTCCGACTGTAGCAGGGAGTAGGGCGATGATAGGTGCCACTTTGAGAGGCACATTCAAGCTGGGGATTCCGTCCGCCAAGAGGGGGACGGTGAACTGTCCGATGTAGACCGTAGAAAGTTGGGGTTGTTCCCTAGAGTTATCCATTTCCGCACTTCGTCCAACGTTGCTAGAGGAAGCCATGAGTGCTAGATTTTTTCAAGGAAGAAGAGAACTATGAAAGTTTAGAGAGAAAGGCCTTTTGAAGCGTTTCCCACAGACGATGCCAAATGAGGTTAAGCGATCCAGTCACTCCTAGTTGGCACTCGCGTGGCTCCTGAGAGTTACCTGAGACGAGAGGAAAGAGGAAAAACTCCCGAGGGGGTTTCCCAGCGAGAACGCTCCGATGATTAAGTCAATACTGTGTGCAAGAAGAGAAGGGAAAGGGAAGGCTAAGAGTGAAAGTTGCACAAGTGATTCGAAGATACCTTGTTCCTTGAGAATGATCCCCTTATAACCAAATTCCATTGCTTCAGGCCCTCTGACTTTGACAGGGCAGGTATAACCGCCACTGTCAGCCTGCCACAGCCGTTACAGGCAAGGCTGAGGTGGCACGCGCGGGGCCATCGTTGCAGGGTACGTGCCTGTCAGGCGTGAGACACCTTTCTGAAGGTGACAAGCGCGGCGCTATCTGACGAGGGACATGCCTGCAATCCACAGATTTGTCAAGTACGGCGGTTGAGCAGAAAGCTTTCCTGTGGTATACCGAACTGCCCTTCCGCGAATCACCCTGTGCTGGGCTGTCTCTTGAGTGACGAGCTACCTGTAGCAGGTTATGCCGAGCTGACTGACCCGAGGTGTCCATGCCTCGGGGTGTCCAGAGATGGATCGGTGCGTTCTTGCCTAGGAGTGGCCCGAGGTCCATTGGGGGGAGCTCGGGCCTTAAGAGAGGTCAGGACGTCCCGAACTTGGGACGTCCCGAAGTGCCTTAACCCCGGGGAGGAGGTGCGGGTAAGGCGGCTCCCGACGAGTAATTTACCCGCCGAGTTGCCGAGCTGTACTCGGTGGGACTTTCCCTCCGAGTTGTGTTAACGCTCGTTGCACTGTCATGCTAAGTCACTGTTTGAGCAAGGTCACGCCCACGTGTACCCGTGCCGCGAGGTCGAGCCAAATCACCCTCCATCAATATCCATCAGAGAGAGTGCAGTCCTCAATAATCACCCACTCGAGTGAATTCTCGGACTGCCCCTACATACCTAGGTTTTTCCCCCTCTAAGGATCTCACTAATTGATATATCAAAAATAGCCCAATCCACATCAGTGCAGTACCATAATCAAGTCTAGGGGTTAGGTGACTTTCTAATTTTGCCCACCAGTCTACAAGGTCCAGGGCATAACTGGAAAATGGTCTGAGTTCAGTGTTTCGAACTAACACACACGACATGTGTGCTTCGGGTCTCACCCTACCAGCTGAGACAAGCCACCCCTACCAACTTAGCAGCACATTAATGTCAGCCATGTCAGGATAAACTTCCCCAAGTCTATCCAACGGTTAAGGACATTCTAAACTAACACGAGTCTCATAACTGTCCAATTTAAGGGTAATTACCATACCAAATATAACATGAATCAATTATGTACTTTTGTTCATTTACAATAAATGCATATGTATATCATTTTGATTGGAACTAAGGGCATACACTGTCTAACACGTTTATGGCCAACATCTGCGCTGCAATGGGCCGCCTCGGCGCTCAGGCGAGCTCCCTCTAATTGGGCTTGTAGGGCCTTTGTATTCTCCTGCTTTTCACGCTTCAACACGGCGACCATATTCAGCAAGACCTGGCCCATCGAGTTTGCCTGTAAAGAAGAAATAATAGTAGTGAGGCTTGGAAGGAAAGGTAAGCAAACATCAAAAATGAAGATCACACACCTGTAGGATATGCCGAGTCATCCTTGTGGCAACGTCAGTAGGATCGAACCCATTGTTGTATTGGAGGTCCCTAGGAAGGAGGATCCCCCTCCCCACTCGTAGAGCGACCAGAGGATTAGTTAGTCAGTCAGCAATCGAAACATCAATATTAGGGATGAATCAAGGTATCTCAAAGTGTGAGGGGCCGACGGTGCACTCATCTAGGTCGACCTGGGGTGACAAGGCAGCTAGACCTGTAAAGACCTGAGCGGGCTCTACGGACATAGGATTGTCGCCCCCCTCGAGGTCGACCACCTCAGGCATACACATAGCAAGCCTCTCGGCATCGGCTGATGAGCCCTCCATTGACGACCGAATTGAGGAATCCGCCGCCCTCCTCTTCTTTTCTTAAGGGCCTCTTGGCCACCACCAAAAGGGAATTAACACACCATTTATGAGGAAACATACAGAAAAGCATGAGTTAGCCAAGCTAAAAAATATCTTTTGAAATAAAGATAACAAGCGACGACCAGGCTGACCTATTTATAGGACTCAAGCCAACCCAAACAAGCATAGGATCAACTAAGAATTAATTTATCATTAACTGCCAACAAACGAGGCATTGGGCCTCAAGAGACAACCCTTCGTTAAACTGAATCTCATAAACTTTTCTCATCTCTTGTTGCCAAACGATGTCCATGGACCAACCAACCTCCTGAAAAAGGAAAAAATACCTACTCTTCTAGATGGGTTAGAGACCTCGGACGCACATTGAGCTCTGAGAGTCTACCTATATAAAGGCATCCTAGCTATGGAGACCGGTTGGCTATGGCTCTCAACAAAGGTGAGGGACTACATTTGAAACCATGGAGACCGTCGTGGCTATAAAGGCATCCCCTTTCAGCTCCATTGAGACTGACTCTCCAATGATCAATGCCTTCTCGAAAACACAGGTGGGCCGACCTCTCAAACCGGTTGGCTATGCCTCCCAGACTGTCATGGCTATGGCTTCTCGAAAACATAGCCGGCTCAACTCGCCTCCAAACCAGATGAGCCAAAGACTTCGGACGTGTTTCATGGATCTCGGACAGTCTACATATATAAAGGCATCCCCTTTGATGGAAGTGTTATGCACGATTCGCTCTTAAATTTTTTGATTTTTCACAATTCATCACTGACTTAAACATCAAAATGCCTAACACGAATAAAACAACCCACAACCTCTCTGATCTTTTCTTTTACAGATTAACTAGACAATTTAGTCAATTCAACGTCCGAACTGTCTACCACCAGGGAACACCAAATCTCGAATCATCATCATCACTTTTATCATACCGGTTCCTTGATTATACATCTTTTTAGGGTATCCTATTTTTCGGTATCATAATTGAATCTGATACGAGTTCAGGTGCCCTTGCCGTGAGCCGTGGGCGGAAGAGACAGATATAGTCGGGAAGAGAGAAGAGAGAACGAGAGAGAAGTGGGGGACGTGGATAACTCGGTCCACAGTCCACGTGGTAGTTAATGGAACATCCAGTTATTCGACAGGTGGCGTCGTGTGGTGATAAAAAATAAGAGAGAGAGAGAGATAGAGAGTAATAACACGGAAGGTGAAGATTGCGTGAATGGGACAGTGACCACTTTTTGCGGATCAAATTGCGTGAATACATTACAATGGGTACTACCGCGGGGGCCATGCATACCGCCCATACCCTTGGAACCCTACCAACTCTATCCCCCAACTAAAACCGTGAACGCACAGACAGGTCTACAGCCCTCTAATTAATAATTATTGCTGTGCCACTTACTTTTGAATGAATTGGATGAAGTGACGTAAGTAAGCTTCAGGCGATAGGAATGCACGATTGAGTATGGGGGCTCTTCTATTCTCTCTTGATGCTAGGCTGCTACTTTTGAATGAAACCTGCTGCCGCGCTCATGGCTCAAAGCTCAATTTGAACATCTCATACTCGTACCGATACCCTCGTCGTCTCTTAAAATAACTTTCAAACAAGCAAGCAAGGGGAAGAGAGAGAGAGGGAGCGCGAAAATCTTTTCGAATCGTCTTTAATTGTTTCAAACCATTATTTTGACCAAAGAATTTTATTCAATAAAAGTAAGTGGTCCCTCTCCAACCCGGATCAGCCCTGGATCGTACAGGGCAGCTTCTACTTCTAACTTCTGGGTTGGGTTAGGGTACCCAAGTGTACCCACCGCAGGAGCTGGAGCCTGGAGCCTCTCTTTTCCAAGATTAGCGGTGGTATCCAGCTGGCTACAGATGACGGACGTACCTTACCACCAGGCAGCAATTGCATTCCTGGTAAATTGACGAAATTACCCATTGTCCAGACGATTGACGAAAGACGAAGATTCGAGTTTGGAGAACCAAAACACAGGACAATGAGCGGGAAAGCCGAAAAGGGGCGTCATAAATAATTGGTATTTTTGTGTAGGGTTTACTGTTTAGTGAGTCGAGTGTTAGGCGGTTAGGTATTTTCCAAAATCAGCCGTCCCTACTATATTTGTACGGTTTCAACATTTACCGGCCGGCATGTCCCCGGAGTGTTGAGTGTAGAGGTAGAGGAGGAGGAGAAAATGGAGAATGCAACCGCTGGAGGGTGGACACATTTGTGGAATCTGTTCCACTTTACTGTTACAGACAAATCAGGGTGGGGAATGCTCGTGCATCGTATCTTGATTCCCGGCCTCGGGTTCCATCAAAATTTCTTATTATTTTCTACACCACCTTTTGTTGCTTCACTCCACTCAAGTACTCCACTAGTTAAGTAGTTATGCCACTCAGACATTAGACCGGTATAGCCGGTATAGCTGAGGTCGCTGTAAGCATTCTAATTGTCCGTAACACTCAGTTTACGAGTACAAATACAAACATGTAGAGTGCAAAACCTTGTATATATTTGCACCGTACATATTTGTATTCCTACTCCTATACTGAGCCTAAAATTGGAGGAGGTGCCACTCCCGCCTTTCATTCACTCCATCTCCATACTCCGTATTATCTTTTTTTTCTTTTTTCTTTTTTTCTGTTCTTACTTTTCCTCCACATTCACAGGTAGTCAGAGACTATTATGTCATTTTCCATCTATAAATTCACAGAATCCATTGGCAGCTGTCACTCTCAATTATATGCATGCAAGTAAAAAGGAAAAGGGTTTCTTGCACATAAGAGCAACTTTTTTGCTCTCAATATCAAAAAGATAATATTTTTTTAAAATAACAAAAATAAGATAGCTATTTTTAAAAAATATCAACTAAGGGTAATAATACTGTTCATCGTCTTCCTCTACCCTTCCATTGGTGATGAGGCCGGAATTCCCTCTGCAACTTTAGTGATTCGTCTTCAGCTTTCAGTGACTGCAAACAAGTAGAGAACGGGCTAAAAAATTTCAATCGGAAGTAAACACGACATCGATTCGTACTGTTTTCAGATTACAGCAACTAACGTGTTTACTCGTAATTGGGTTTCAGATCCGGAATCCTCGTGGTTCAGGCATACCGGATTAACCAAAAAAACAAGTGTTCAAAGTATTTCGAAACGTCTTAAACGTGTCGATTTAATGGTGTATGACATCTGGATAACGATGCTCAGCAGTCAGCACCGAGATTAAACGGAGTCGGACAACTCGTTTTACTCGTTCACTAGTCGCCCCGATACGATCCACCACAACTCACCCACTCAATCCTGAAAAAGAGTGGGGCAAAACTCTTCAAAGTCGTAATAGACAGAGAGATACTAAGTTCTTTCATTGCCTTTGATCAATCTTATCCAAATGTATTTTAGAAAAAAAAGGAGGAAAACGAATAAAGAAACCCTCGTATGTATTGATGAAACATTTAACAGGATTTCAAGTCTTAAACCGCTGTGATCCTGAACAGACCAGATGGAATGCTCGTTAATGGCAAAGAAAATGAAAGAAAGTTGGAAAAATCAAACCTGCGTGATTAGGAAGTGATCTCCAGCTTCCGTGGCCGTTCTTCTTAATATACTCAACGAGAATCTCATCACCAGAGCTGCAGAGGGAATTCCGGCCTCCATCATCAGAGGAAGGGCAGAGGAGGACGATCAACAATGTCATTTCCCTTTGTTGATACTTTTCAAAAAAAACTAGCATGTTTTTGTTATTTTATAAAAATATTATCTTTTATTGATATTCAGGGCAAAAAATTGCCCTTATCTGCAAGAAACCCAAAAGGAAATAAGCTGCGTTCAGTCATAGTATTAGTGGCCGGCCCGGGATTAGATTGGGAGTTGAGTCTCGGACGTTGCCAAGTGCCACCCAATAAGCAGCACAGCAGAACTGAAGCCTGAAGAGACCGAGAGAGAGACGGTCACCCCTGGCCCCTGCTGCAAGGGACTTTCTTTTATTTAATCCATCAGTCGTATTGGGAGCTTCAATGCCTGAGCCATACAGGATACAGCTAAGCATAAAGCTGTAGTGGTACAATTTAAGCGAACCCCCATTTAAGAGAAGCAACGCCAAATATGCATGAATACAACCACATTCCGGAGCCGGAGGGACGATTATTACATCCAGAATTTAGAAATGTGATTGGTCTGGAAACAAGGAAGCCATATATAATAAGCATACAACGGACAAAGGAACATCATCCCCCCTCCCCAACCAGTTATGACCGTTTTAAAGAAGTGGGAAGAAAACGCTGACTACCCCCCATATACAAAACAAGAAACATCAACATCCACAATACATACCCACCCAGCACCAACGGCACCGTTCCCCCCACTCCACCGCTTCGCTTTCGGAACTAAACAAACAAGTTTAAACTCAACGAAACGACGAAGACAGACAGTATCTGACTGACTCCACGAGAAAGCCAAGGCAAGAGAATATGGGTGAGTGTGTGGACGCTTCTGATGGACTCTGATTGGAGTCTCTGGGAACAAAACACAAACATCCCGAGGCCCCCGCCCCATTTGGTTCTTTTTTCAACTAATGTCATTGAACATAATTACATCTCGTAAAGCGTTATTTGACTTGACCAGAAAGATTATTGTCATAATACCCACACCGTAATCCCAGGGTTCGAGAGAGCCATACCCACCACCCATGTAATTATCCATTACACAAACAAACCATGCATTGAGACACGAGACCAGATCAGACAAGTTTTCGGAAAATAGCAAAAATAATGGCCACTCCCCACTCATTCTTCTTAATCAGTCGACATCCATGAACATGGCCCATCGCAAGATGCTTAATACTTACGCAAACCCATACAACACTCTGAGCCTCGATTTACCCATTACTCTCTCAATCACCTTACAAAATTAACCCTTAACAGTTAACACGCAATGAAAAAAAGAAAACGTATAAAAATAAAGAAAAAGAATAAAAATAAAGAAAAAGGAAAAAAGCAAATCACGATTGGCAGTTTGGGACGTCGATTAACGTTGGAAGTTGGAACTGGGGAAGGACGGAGATTCCGCTTTGGGTGAAGATAAAAGAGTAGTTGCTACTTGCTAGCTGGTTGGATGACCCGGAAATATACACACCACGAACCATGATAGACCTGACACCGTTTATCGAACAGGTTCGCTGAATTCATCACCCTCGCAAGTTAATTATCAAAATACTCGGTCCACGTCCAATCTAACAACCAATTCCAGATATAGAACAAGTAAACAACAATACTCGGTTCAAAGTCGAGAAATGAAACGATTGATATTTTTTTAATCGCGAGAATATAGTATAGAAGCAGCCATAAGTAGGAACAGGCATTTATAATGGCACACTTGGCCAATTGCTGAACTGGCAGTAAAATCTATCTTGTTATACTAAAAGACCAGACAAGAATACAAATGGTCACAAATTCTTATTATTATCAAATTTTCTGGCCATGGTGGCCATGGGCAAGGCGTGGGATGAATTTCACGCATCGACATCCTTCTACAAAATAATAGAGGCCCATTGTCTTCCGCTCTCTTCCCAACTATGATTTTACAACCAAAAACACAACTTCTGAACGACGGACTATAAAACCACTTCCCACCAAACCGGTTTAGATGGCATCAACTGACTTATTACTCGAAAATTTTAAAGGACAAAAAAAGCCCAAGGCCATTTTTCTCCACCCCAGTAATTGGACCTAAGCCAAACAACGAAAACGCTGTATATCTTTCCTTGTATTACAAAACAGGACTCAACTTATTTCAAAAACATTTCTGCATTAGTATTCTCTTCCCAATCAAATTTAAAGATTTCACTATAACCAACTAACTCCTAAACTACCAACTTCTCTCGCCCTTTCTTCTTAAAATCTGTTGCTTCAAATCTTCAATTGCTTTTTCTTTTAGTTGTTTAACCCGCCTTTCAAACAGAAAATACAAACACCATCAGTAGATTAGTAGATGCGACGAAATGCTGACAAGTCAATACGTCCACTCTTGGGGGAGACGTATATCATGGTTTATGGCTGTTCCCTGGGAGCGGAAGCTCCGCTTCGGTTGAGGGAGATAGGCATTACTCCGAGTAATCACCGGATCTGCAACTTCCCACCACAAAAACAGGGGATGTTAGTTCCACTTCCATATCTCAACCAATTATTAAAACCCATTACACACAGACCACAAGTGATTACCATGTTCAGGAGAAGCGAAAACTCCGTTGAAACGGCGATGAGCACCAATATCGTCGAAATTCAATTTCAAGGCCTGAACAACTCTGGCTGGAAGTAGAACCGTAGAACATGCTGATGCACACAAAACAAGGAATAATTAAGAACTTGTATTACGAAAATAACATTTGACGCCTCAAGCCAAAGAAGAAAATATTGAATATCCCTCTCGTCAAAATACACCTCCAAAATTTCGGAATAACGGAAAACAGAGCCGCCGGCAGAAACAAATCACACGAAAGGCCATAAGAGAAACACCCAGCCCAGTATCGGAATATTTTACCATAGCCCCTAACAAGAACCAATTCCAAGATCCTATAAAACATTTCTAACCTAGAGCAAACAAACCAAACATTACTGCAACAAAAAGGACAACAAGATGACCAACATGATCGAATGAACGAAATAGGTTACCTGCTTTTTTCCGGGAGTCGGCAGGGCTACCTATTCTGCGAGGCAAGAAAACACCGGTTCCACTGGACTCCCTTCTTGTACCGGAGGTCCCAAGGAAAACCGCTCTCATACCGGAACCTGCTTGTTGTTGCTGCTGCTGCAGAGGAGGCCATGCAGATGAAGATAAGCCCAAAGGCCGCCCACATCTACCGTTACCAAAACCAGGAGCAGTTCTTGCTCTATTTTGCGGCTGTTGATGCGTATTCTGAGGTTGCTGAGTGGTCCCAGCTATCTTCCTAGGTCTTCCCCAAACGGTAGGGCACTGTTGTTTCAACAAGTGTTGCTGCCTCAGCTGGTGGAACTGTATTTTTGAGAAAAAAAAAAAAAGGCACACCCAAGACTAATATCAGTTAAGTGAATTAAGACGACCGGCGTTCGGTGTCCATTTAACAAGAAAGGCGGAGAATGTTTACTTGATTCGACTGCAGGTGCTGGTGGTTAAGAGCCGGGTCTGAGTAGAAGCCGGCACTTACGTTGGGATTCTTCACCGGAACAGAGACTGGAGAGGGCTTCCGGGGAAGACCCAGGAGCCCACGTGCTTGGTGGTTCTGTGGCATCTCATCGTTCATCTTCATCCTCACTACCTGCCCCGCAGCAGCGGAAAGAAGATCCCACGCATCTTCTTTCCCATTCAACGGCGTGGACGGTGGCGAAGAAACCTGTGAAGGGCCGTTGGGACTTCCACGGCTCGAGCCCCCACTACGACCCGACCAGCTTCCGACTGCGCACAACGTTGATTGCGGGGAGCCAGCCATAGCCCATGTCTTGAAAATCAGTAAATAACCCCAAAATCAGAAGCTCATAACAGAGATCGTAGCAAGCAAAAAAACCACGGAGATGGAAGGAGGAAATTGACGGACCTCCGAGATAAATGAATCAGAGATGGCATACCTTATGGTTGTCGGTAGCAAAAGAAGGGGCAGCAGATTTCTCCTCATCTTGCAGCATGGAATGAGCCATCTGCGTAGTTAGCCCAGCCAAGTAGTCCTCCTCATCGCTCTCGGTCTCGGTGGAACCCACGACCGACTCAACCGGGGAGCTGAGAGCCGAGGGAGATCCATAGCATGCAAAGGCGTAGGGGAACTCAAAAGGAAAGAAGGACCCAGCTTCGGTCTCAGAGGAAAAGCCCTTGCTACCGTTATTGTAGTTGGTCTTCTCCATGAGTATGTCGTCGTCAGTGAGAAACTGAGAAGGAAGCCAGAACTCGCCGTCGTCCAAGTCCTCCGCCATTACAGAAGGCCCGAGAGGGAGAAGATAGAGACTGAAAAACACGAAAAAGTCGGGATAGGTTTTGAAGGCGTGAGTAATGGCGGTTGCTGCGTCGCGAAGATTTAATAATAACCCAGTTGGGTTTGCTGGGTTTTGCAGGCCCAGGGCCCCGCTTCAAAAGAGGGGGAAAAATTACAAGTAAAAGGAAAAGGCGCCAGAAAGAGAAAGAGAGAGAGAAGGCCAGGGCCAAGCCACCGCACTCACCAGAGAGGATGGAAACTGTAGAAGACAAATAACTGTGTTAAGGATTCCAAAGTTTTCCAAGGACAGTTTGGATGGGTATCATTGCATTGTAGGGTTGTGCAGGGAATGGATAGTTTGGATTTCGAAAATAGATGAGGAGACGAGGAGGGAGAGTGGGTCTGGGGCCTGGGCCAACTCTCCACAAATATTTATACGCAGACTGAAATACATACGTCAATACGTTCATAGTTTCATACATACATACATACGTCTTGATAAATAAAAGAAATAAAGATATGTGCACAAACCCTGGAATGTTGAAACGGACATTTGTCCTTCTGTGCCGCCACATGGCTTGTATACGAATTCCACGTATAAATTATAATACCCATTACCACCGTTGCTTCACAATTTTACTTTACGCCTACTATTACTAATTTACAGTTTTATTTTTTACGTGAAAAAAATCTACTTTTACACATAGTCATAAATTGATAATGGGTTCCACGTCACGCACGATTGAGGTAGTTATAGAGAACCATGGGAATGGAGAGACCGGATCTGCTCCTTACACAGGGCGCTTCACACGCACCTTCTACCATTCATTGGAAACATCTCCCGTGTTTATAAATTATTATTTACGGCAGATGTTCTCAATGCACGGTCGATGTGCCTATAACGCGCCTATTTTTGAGGAGCAATTCCGTCACGTAGATAAAACACTTTTTTTTTGGTGGTATAGATAAAACACTTGTGAATCTCAAATTACTGACGTGGCAGCAAAAATGCTCTCGTTTTGGTGTTGGCATTTGTGGTAACTCGCTTACTGGCGGCCTCACTGCTATGACCGTAAAAGACTGAACAGTCAGACTTAACGATAAGAGAATTAGACCGATTCACACGGGCGGGCCAGCTAATTTAATTTGGAGGAACAGTTAAAAGGTGCGAAGGCGCGAAACAGGAACCCATTCACTTTCTATACCCGCCCCCTACCCACGGTAAACTGCAGCCGCACATCTCTCAATACAGGATTGCAATGTGCGGCAGATATCAATGCACGGTTCGACCGATCAATTTAAACGGATGGTCTGTTTAACTGAAACAATTAAGCAATCAAAATAAAAAACAATTGATCAAATCAATTCTTTTTTGGTCAAGGACGAAGCCAAGGGTGAAACAGAACTGATTGCCCAAATGGTTCATAGGGTCAAATGCTCTAACTGTTTAGGTCAATGACAATTCAAAAAACACTGGTGTGGCCGTATGGGTATAAAATAGTGGGCATTAGGTAAAAAATACGATTTGGCAAAGAAACAGCACTAATCTCTGTTTGGTGATTATGTGGTTTGAGAAATAAGTACTTATTGCATAAATAATGATTTTTAAGAATTTATTTGAATGAGTAAGTACTTATTGGGGTGAGATTGGCGAATCAATTCACCAATAAGTACTTATTTTAATGGAAATTACATTTTTATCCCCTATTTTCACACACCCATATAAACATTAGATTTTGCATATTATATTATTCATTTCAAAGGAACATGCCACATCACTATTTGAAGACATATATAAATCCACATGTAATACACATGGCACTAATACAATAACAATAATAATAATAATAATAATAGGGATTATGCAAGAAACAAAAAACATCGGAGAACACAACAAGTCTATTCGGCTAATACATATTACCCAATGCATTATGCAATAATATTTAAAAATATTATATCACCAATTGTTCTCAATAGTTTTCCAAAAGATCAAAGAAAAATTCAGAATATACAAAAAAAATAAAAAAATTTCAACAACTACATATTTTTGGTGTAATACCCAACAAAAAGATCTATTTATTCAAACATACCATTATACACCCGAATACACATATAACATTGCATCATTATTCGGTTTAAGTCATTGAAAAATAAAAAAAAAAGGTTTCACTAAAATATACAAAAAAAAGGTGAATAGGTATAGCAATTAATCGCCGATGATTTTCCGATGGGTTTATCGTCCAAAGAAAAAATAGATTTCGAAAAGAAAAATAAAATAAAACGTAAAAAGGAGCATATGTTAAAATAGTTAAAAAAACAACAAAATAGAGAGTTTGAATGCAAGAGGAACGAATGAATCTGGAAAAACGACCCACCTGCCGATCGTTTTTTGGCCATTTAAGAAGTCATTGGTCGCCCTTCTCGTTGCTACCGCCACTGCACTACTCAACCTATGTGAATGGAGAAGATCTCCATTCGAAGGGACAGTTAGGGGATTATGAGATTTTTTAAGGATTGATTCATCCCAAATATTTTGAATAATCAGTTAAAATTAGCACAAATGTTACTTGTTTTTTAAGTGGTTATTTTTTTAAACAATCACTTATTTTCTAACTTATTTGACAAAGAGGAATATATGCTTGTTTTTCAACTATTATATGGTTTCAACACTTATTTTAAGTATTAATTTAAATAAATACTTATTTTAATTAAATTCAAAATTGACTTTTGTAAAAAGGGAAATTCCCAATTAATACCTTGGGCCTTGGGCCTAGTGCCACTCTGATCCCCGAATTTTAAAATGCAACAATTTTAGTATCCGACTTTCAAAACATGCCAATCCAACTATCTGTCCTTAACCAACTATCAAGTGGCATTTGAAAACACACAAATGCCCCTTTAATTGCATCTAATTCTCTTTTTCAACCACCCAAACATTGACAAAAAATGAACAATCACATATCCTTGCCTTTTCCATTAAAAAGTGAATACCCCAACTTACGTAAATAGCAACGAAAACCCATCTCCCCATGACTTTCAAACCATCCAAAGCTATCACGAAATCAAAAGCATTGCTTTCTGTTCCGACCAAGGGAATTTATGATGATAAACAAGAGCTATGAACAAATAAACCGTATCTAACCATCCTACTAAAGCCTTCTGCAACTTTCACCTGTAATAATTAAACAATGTAAAGGGCGAGCACCAATGCAGCTACACGTCCCTTGTAGCGCTCATCCGACCTCTCCCCATGCACTGCATTCACCAATATCTCGTCACTGGAAGCGCTAGACTTGTAATGGCAAGTTAACCCACCGAATGCCCTGCACAAAGACCCTCTTTGATTCAAAGTACCCTTTCTCTTTCTTCCCCGTAATAATAGCCTCCCGTTGCTGTCTGAAATGGAGAATATCCTTCAATATGGTGTTGAGAATATCATGTGATGGCTAAGTGTTATTAGCGTTCAGTCTTAAACAGTGTTTTGTTTTCAAAGATAATTTTGACATTTAAAAAATTTTAAGTTGCACAAATCATCACGTGATAAGATAACTGATGGACTATTAACAGTAGAGACTAAGATGGTGTTTAGTATCGATGTAGTGTTTAGTATCGGTGTTTAATATCGGAGATGCGTTTAACAAAAAATGCATAAAAAGTTATTTGGTTGAGCCATTTATCTGATAAATGTCTCTCTCGAAAATTGTGTGAACCATTTATTAAAAAAGCGCAAATTTTGATGTTTTTCATTTTCAATACCAATTTTTCGCAGTTTGGCTTATATGGCGCCTAATGGCACTGAGGTGTAAAAGAACCGTACAAAATGTTTAAAGCAGATTAGTCTCATTTTTTAAGACAAAATTATACAAAGCGTTTTATCTTATAAATGCCATCGATACCAAACAACCTCTAAGTTGACACTTTTTGAAAGTTTAGATAAGAATAACACATTTGAAAGTTTGGATACTAACTTGACATTATCCCAAGGGTACTAAAGTGTAATTTTCCCATTATAATTTAAGAAAGGGTATGTAATGGGAACGAGAAATACTTGTGTGGAGATGGAAATCGGCAATCGACAATGGGGCATGCTTTCCCTAGCCCCCACGCCTCCTTGCTTTGTATTAATTAGCTTGGGGAAGGGCTTTGGTTTCTGGTTTAAAGTATAACTAGTAGCATGTACGTGCATTTTGCACGTGATACTATCTCCAAAACAAAACTATATACAATTCGTGAATACTTTTGGAACAGTTATAAGTGGGCAATTTCTTAACTGTTATAAGTGAACAGTTTTGAACAATTATAAATGAACAGTTTCTTAATTATTATAAGTGAGGAGTTTTTGAAATGAGAGTAAAAGACATATATACTCTTTTTTATGCATATTGTATTTTACTTAAATAAAGAGTAAAAAATGTCTAATAAAAAAACTGTAGAAAATGGGGCTATTGATTTTTTTATGAATAGTATAGATATAAGATTTATCCTCAGTCAAATCAAGTCAAAATAGGATTTACATACTTCATTAGCGAAACGTAAAAACACTGTTATTTGTCTTTTATAACCTTTTTGTCCAGGGTAGGCTATTGTGTTTGGGGGCCGAGGGGCTCCTTCCTTACCGTACTAATAATAACCTAAATTAAACTGTATCAGTGTCACAGTCCCAGTCTGAGTAATGCGCAGTACTGGGCAGAGCAGTGAGTAACATACCCCGGATAGGATAGGATAGCTTCCCTTTTGACAGAAAGAGACTCAATGCTGCGCTTGCAGATCTCCACTTTGGACTTTGGAGCACCCAACCATATTCATTAGGACCCCACACCAACAACTTCAACTTTAAAACTTAAACTACAACCTAGAGAGAGAGAGAGGGATTGCTACTTGTTAATGTGGCGACATCGAACACCTGCACTGTTCCTCGACCCGACTAATTTGCTTCTGGTCCCATTTCTTAGGTAGATTATGTAAAGCTTTCCTCCAAAAGTTGACAACAACGATTTTGAATATCTTATTCACAATAATGTTACCATGTTTACCCCACATGATAAGTGAGATGTTTCAATGTGTGGCGGTAATTCTCATAATATGACAATATAACATGGATAATAAATTGGTGGGACTAGAATGATACACACCACACCCTATGTTAAGAATTAATCTACATTATATCATTGTAATTAGTTATTTTAACTTATAGATAAAAATATGTAAATTAAAATTAAGAGTGGATTCGAGTTGAGTCGAGTCAAGTATCTGATTATTTAAGTTTGGCTCGCCAAAATAATATTAAGTTCGAGCTCAATTACAGTTATAGACTAGAGTTTGACTTTAGCCTGGCTTGAAAGTTCGTACATTCGAACTCGTCTCGACTCGATTCGAGATCAGTTGTGAGCCAAGTTAAT